AAAACTCTGTATGGTGATGGGGTTAGAGAATGTGTTTGATCCTGATCCAACTTATGAACTCACCATTGATAACATGAAGAAAATACTGGCCATTCACATGAGATTCAGGTGATCTTGTCATATCTATTCCTTCATTTTATTTGATTTTCAGTAGACCAATTCATTGATTTCAGCGTTACATTAGCCACAAAAAGTTGTACATTTTGGCCAAATAAACATTCACTTAATAAGATGTCCTTAGCCATCTTAACTTCATTGTGCATGTATCACCTTCTGTTTTCAGATGTGGTATACCTGTGGTGATTATGGGAGAGACTGGTTGTGGTAAGACTCGTTTGATTCGATACATGTGTGCACTGCAAGCAGGATCAGCAAAACAGCGTAACATGTTGCTAATGAAGGTTTGTCATGCTAAAAAACAACAAATGCTTTTTCTTCATAGTTTATTTGTATCTAAGAATTATTATATCAACTTCATCATCACTGATTAAAGGGTTATTAACCGAGCGCGAGGTCTGTACAGAAAAATATCGGACCGAGGTCTCGACAGTACGGACCGAGGCCGTAGGCCGAGGTCCGTACCTTAGAGACCGAGGTCCGATATTTTTCTGCACAGACCGAGCAAACGAGGTTAATAACACTTTTATTATAGGACTTTTTTCTACATCGGAAAAGCAAACTGTAAACAGCGCGCGAATATCGATTGGACTATCGWTTGGTCCAACTGAAGCAAGCAAAGCACATGGAATCAAATTGTCAAAAATGTGTGTTTTTTACATCAGAAAACAGATATTTCTGTTATAAAAACAATTCTAAAATGAATTGCCATCAATGTCACAGAAGAACAATCATTTAAATGTCTCGAAAGATACTTATTGCGTAGAAAAACAACAAACAAATGGGTCTTTCATCGAGTCAAAGCACAACGAAAACAAACAACAGTAAGCTTTATCTACTTTATCTACAATCAAATCGTTTTCAATCTTCATCGTCGCTTTCAGTGATAGCATTTCGACGCCTTTTCCCTTGTTGAACCGTCACTGGACCTTTGGAAATCTTGAAGTTACATTAAGTGATGCTGTGAATTTCTAACCTGGGTTTTATTAGTGTAGTCACGAAGCGCCTTCTCGTCTTCATCTCTTAGAGATTTCGTCACTTGTGTTTTGTTGCCTTTTCCGCTCTGTACAAGGGCCTTCGCTTCACTACAAGAATAGTTCTTTACCTGTTAAATTCCTTGTCTTTGAAGATGTTCAGTTAGGAGCCATCCTCTTCAAGTTTTCGCTGCATGCTTTTTTGAAATCTGCTTTGAAAGCGATTTCATTTTCATGAACTGAATGGTCTGATAGCACTCCACCGGAAAGCTGCTCACTCTCAGTAATATCTTTTTCAATAGATGGATACTTTTATAAAATGTTTATATTAGACCTTGTTTCTCGTATTGTGATTTCGCCTTTAAGTTTTCTACAAACAACTGTCAAAACAACAACTCCTTGGCTCGGAGTTTGAACTTCGCTTCGGATGTGGCGTTTTCATGCATGTTTTAAAATTTGCTTGAAAAATACTCTTCCTCGTCATTCTTAATTTTTCTTTGCTTGCTTCTCGTATAGTTATTCTCAAATTCAGTTAAAAAAATCTCAAATCAAATCTTGTGCCTTGAAAAATGTCAACAAACGGGCGCTCGGGATATGACTTTCGGACCGTTGTCATGGTAATCGGTCGGAGATGGCAAAATATCGCCCTCAAGTGAGCCAATCAGAACGCGTGTACTATCGAAGTCATATAATAATGAAGTTTATTTACAACCAGGTTCACGGTGGTACATCTTACAAGGATATTGAAGCAAAAGTTGAAAAAGCTGAAAAAATGGCTTCAGAGAATGGAAAGAAGGGCATTGATACAGTACTGTTCTTTGATGAAGCCAACACAACAGAAGCACTAGGCATGATCAAAGAAGTGATGGTTGATCGCAGAATTAATGGTCGGCCTGTGGGGGTTGAGATACAAAGATTGCACTTTATAGCTGCGTGCAATCCCTATCGTAGGTGAGTTTCCAACGTAAATCAGTCAGTGCTATAACTGTTTCAAAAAAGGTTTTATCAAACAAAAATTGAATACAGTCCATAACTATCAGGTCATACAATAGTCGTTCTGCGTTGACAAACTTTTTTGAAGGATATCTGAAATTCAAACGGAGCACGATGCAAAGTTTTCTGCAGTTTTTACACTTTTCAGAAAAAAACTGTTTAAAGGCTAGGAGGTTAATTTTCGCATTTTCACGACCACTTAGACACTTAGTATGAAAGATAAAATATGATGCAAAGCAGAAAACGAAAAAGAAGTTAATTGAACTACTCTTAATACTTTCTTCTATCTACAGACACACTGATAAAATGATTGAAAAATTAGAATCTGCTGGTTTGGGATACAGTGTGAAAGCTACTGAAACGAGAGACAAACTTGGTAACCACTGAATCGCATTGATATACACTACAGTTCGTTTTTACCATCTAGAAACCTGGCTGACTTTGTTGAGCAAACATTTGTGGGATCATTAAAAAGATTATTATTGGTGGCCAAATGTTATCAAATACCGAACATCAAACAAAAACTATAGGATTATGAATGATTGTTAATACGGAAAAACGGGGAAACATTGACCAACAATCCTGTATGTTTTTGGGAGGCTAATTCATATTTGGGACCAAGCTTAACAAAAAAGCCTTGTGATTTCAGGAAAAATCCCACTCCGTCACCTGGTTTACCGAGTCCATGCCCTTCCAGCAAGTATGAGGCCTCTAGTGTGGGACTTTGGTCAGCTAAAACCTGAAATAGAAGAGCTCTACATCCGTCAGATAGTAAACCGATTCGTAAGTAAGACTGAAAAGTCCATACTTATCATAGTCGTCAGACCTTTTAAAAGGCTTATTTTTGTCTTCCAGATCGTTGATAAAGTTATCCCTGGTAACGAACGTCTTGTACAGGCAATTGCCTTAGTTCTTGTAGCTGCGCAAAATTACATGAGGAAACAGCAGGTTAGAAATACCCTATGTGGTTCGCTGCATTTGGTTAACAAAAGAAAAAAAAGAAAAACAAACAAACCGGGCAAGCAAGCAAACAAAACAACAAAACAATTAAACAACCCCCCCAAAAGAAGAAGTCCTTTTAATGATCAATCTAATGTAAACTGTGCAGGATGAATGCAGTTTTGTTAGTCTTCGAGACGTAGAAAGAGCAATGACAGTGATGAGGTGGTTTTATCAACACCACAATTACCTTCGACCCCAAGCCCATAATCATGATGGCGACGACGACGAGCAAATTGATTCGCCAGACAGTGATGAGGAAGTAGAGGTATATCCCATTGTCCTAAATGTACTTAGCATTTATCTTTCCTCATTATAGTACATTCCAAGTCTGTTATTTTATTTCCATTCATGTATTCTTCCGTTCTTTACCTCACTTCTTTTTTTCTTTCTTTCTTTGCCTGCCGTCTTTCTATATCACTTTTTTTCAACAATCTTTGTTCTTTCAGCCTGTGGATATGGTCACGTGGTCTCTGTTGTTGAGTCTCGGTGTTTGCTACCATGCAAAGCTACAAGACCGAAAGACTTTTCGTGATTGTATAATAAATTCATTTTCTGCTCCTCTTCAATCCAATGGCGGACAAGAACAAATGTTTAATGAAATTGAAAGGTAAATTAGTACTGTAAATCACATTTTCTCTATACATTCTCTCTATAAAACTAATTTGCAGACAGGCTGACAAACTACTCTTAACTTATCTGTCCGCCTAGAAAAGTACCACTTTCCAGTTTCTTCACGATGACAATTAGTTGAGGGATTAAAATTGAACAATCCACTATCAAAATAGCAACTTGCATCAAATAAGTTTAGATTGAACTGGATGAGATCTCGATTCTGAGCATTATTTTAAATTTCTTCACGCAAGTTCAGAAAATATGCGTTCTCTTTGAAATCAGGGGCTATCTTGGTACAAGCGTGACATCTACTAATGAATAATCTCTCACCTTAACCAACTTCCATAAATGCACCATAAGAAGTTTCATTTTCATTGGTGGTTTTCCTCAAGTTTAGAAAAATGATACAAAGTTCATTTGCACTTAACAACAAAATAGGAAAACTCGACTGAGACACAGAACTTTTTAAACAAATCCTTTCTCTTCAATTTCATGAATAGGTGTCAGAAGGTTTTGATCAATCAACTGAGCCTTGGACCCAACATCGCCCGTAACAATGCTCTCAAAGAGAATGTATTTATGATGGTCGTCTGCATTGAGCTTCGCATTCCACTCTTTGTCATTGGAAAACCTGGTAGCTCAAAGTCCCTTGCCAAGACTGTGGTGGCTGACAATATGCAGGGAGAAGCTTCAAAGTCTCTTCTGTTTAAAAGGTTTAAACGGGTTAGTTTGATCAAGCATAATCTTCATACCCTTCTGTTCTTTCGTGATATTTTCCCATTATCATACAATCGGTACGTTTTTTGTTGATTTTTTATATTGTGGAAGTTTATATATTTGTTTCCTGAACCAAATGTCATTTCCATAGGCTCATATGGTATCGTACCAGTGCAGTCCCCTCTCTACCCCTGAGGGGATTGTAGCAACCTTTAGACAGTGCAGGAGACTTCAAGAAAACAATCCTGGAGATCGCTATGCATCAGTAGTGGTACTAGATGAGGTCGGTCTTGCTGAAGACTCGCCATTATTGCCACTTAAAACCTTACACGCGTTATTAGAAGATGGAGGATCCGATGAGATCATCGAAACAGACGATAAACACAGGCAAGTTGCTTTTATAGGGATTTCAAACTGGGCTCTAGACCCCGCCAAGATGAACCGAGGGTTGATGTTGATGCGTGCTGAACCAGACAAGAAAGAGCTAGAGGAAAGTGCACGGTAGGTGACACAAATTCTCTAGCTTGATGTGATTTTGAGCATGCACTATTCACTTAGAGTCAAATTGCTGTACTTATTCTATAAATTCACAGGGGAATTTGCTCCGCAAAAAAAGATATAAGAATCATGCTGTCTACGCTACTTAAACAGCTTGCTGATGCCTATGCTGATCTGTATCAAAACCAGAAAAAATTTCAGTCACTCAGCAACTCAAAGAGGGACGAGTTTTTTGGGCTGCGGGATTTTTATTGGTAATAGTCATCTTTATTTTGATAATTACTAGCTATACAAGCTTGTGGGAACCCTTGTGATGTTCGGAATATCACTTAAATGACTTCTATGTACATTTGACTGTTAAAGTCCACCTGTATCAATTTTTTTATATTTGGAAAGACTTTTGTAATAGTAACAGCAATTTCTATAAAAAAAAATTAGCCCAGACATAAAAATAACGTTCAAATCGTCAGGCGAATCTCTAGTAGCATTAGAATTGCCGTTCCAGGTTGGATTGCCCCATTAAGTCTTATAAATAATAGATTTGCAATGACATATGGGGAATTTGTACAGTAAACTTTGTTGTCACCAAAGGTCGAGTTACTCCCTCTAAGTAATCAACCCAGGCTCCCATCGCGCTCGGCCAAAAATCATTTGGCCGAATCTAGCGAGCATAAAAATATATAAATTTGGAAATTCGAATTTTTTAATGTGAATTTGTGGTTCAAAACTCGTAAACTTTTATTTCCAAATGTAAAAGAAAATTGGGTGAGGTGGACATTTAATTCGAGTTCAAGTAATACCTCTGGAATACTAAACCACATTTGCACTTTAAAATCATAGCATTTTTGTCTTTTTGTAGTCTTGTCAAGATGGTGTATAGCATTGCAGCTAAAAAGGGTGATATGTTGGACTGGCCAGAACTGGAACATGCAATAAGAAGAAATTTTGGTGGATTAGATGAAATCGATGCTGTGAAAATATTCAGAGAGCATGTCAAGAGCAGCTTCCGCTATGTATCGGTAATATCAAAAATTCAAGTCGCAGTTTAGCAAACCCAAATACATTTGGAATTTGGAATTAATGCATAGCACTCAATTTCGTTACCACATTCGTATCGAATTTCCAGTTATCGTAACAATTCATTGTTTATATTTAAGGATGGAAACCCTTTAAAAACACTGGACTTATTACAAGCCAGTCTTGATCGCAAAAACACCATTGGGTAATGTTAAAACTTAAAGTGGTTAACCACATTCTTCATTATGTTGTAATGTATTTTTGGATATCATTGTAAGGTAAATTTTGTCATTTTTTTAACTTGATGTATGAATCAATTTCTGTTTCTTCTAACTTTTTTTGTCTCTGTCTTTATTTATTTTATTATTATTCAGATTATTATTATTATTTTTTTTTTTGGGGGGGGGGRGGGGGAATTTACAGATTGTTAAGTCCTTCATGATACTAAAAAGCCTTGATCTAGGCTGACTAACCAACTCCGATTGTTGTTTTCACAGAGAAAGTCGATATCTATTAGTAATTACAGAGAACTACTCAGCTCTGACAATAGTCGAACAGCAGCTCATCAAGAATAAAGATGATTACGTGGTGATATTTGGAAGCAGTTTCCCTAAAGACCAAGAATATACACAAGTACTGACTTAAATGTTGCCATTCTATTCAGACTGGGGGGGAAGCTTTTGTGCCCCCCCTCGCGTAAAAAGCTAATAACTTTCGAACCAAGACAGCTAGAGCTCTGAAACTTTGAGACTTTTCCTAAAATTTATCTGGGCAGAATTTGATGTAAATGTTTTGTTGATAACGTCATCCATGTCGCCATGGCAACCAGTTTTTGACACATAGGTTTTCAAAAATGTAAAATATGCTTAATTTTTCATTTTTAAAGCTTATTTCTTGTTTTATTATGCATCTTTTACCTATTTGAGCTTGCTCCCATTGCTGACTCTACAATACCATAATACTTTTTCGACAACAAAAACTTTGGTGGGTAGTTTTCTGTCATTTTTTCACATGGGAGAAAATTTCATTAAAATCATCAGTAACACTTCGAAACTCACTTTTTTATTCATTAAATGTTAGTTTGAGAAGTATTTAAGACATTTTGAGCTGTTTGCCTCAATGCTTAGTTTTTTAATGGCATTTTAGAAAATTCAAGATGGCGGTCCAAGATGGCGGATCCTAAGAWGGCGGATATTCTTCTCAAAATTGCTTGTTCCAAATTGTTTAACTTCAAAAACTTCTCAAATTGTAAATTTTACCATAGAAAAACGATGTAGACCAAAAAAGTGAGATTTGTAGTCAAATTAGTCAAAGACGACAAAGACACTATAGGAAATGACGTCATCACAATTATGACGTCACAACTGTTACCATGGATACAAAACGAACCACAACATCACAGGAGAGCAGTAACGCCTAAATATGATATTTAACTGGTTATCTAGATATAGATATAGAATTTATAAAAATTACCTGATATCTATGACGTCATTGTGACGTCATACAGAACAGGGGTCAATTGAAAAATACAAATATATTATTTTCAAGTCATTTCAATAATAAACAGATGATATTGCAGCATTCTCTATTCTCTATTCACCCAAGACTGGGTGTGGTGGTTCGTTTTACGTGGGCGACCATTGTGTAAAAATTTCATGCTCATAGACGTATTGGTTCCGAAGATATTGGTTCCCCCCAGTCACAAAAGCCCAGTCTGAATAGGGTTAACCAGAAAAATAGAATGTAGCCACTTTGTATTTTAATATTTGCTGTTTTCGATCGCTGTACCGAAATATTTGAATTATAAAGAGAGTTTTGAAACCTTGTTTTAAAAACTGACGATTAGTCCGAGTTCCGAATTTTTTTCAAGTATTTGTTGCGATAACTTTCTTTTCAACAGGTCTGTCGAAACATCAATCAGATTAAGATTTGTATGGAAACTGGACGTACAGTTGTATTGCTAAACCTAGAAAGATTGTATGAGAGCCTCTACGATGCTCTTAACCAGGTAAAGAATTATACTTGAATATGATAACTTTAAACTCTAACGCCTTGGATGTGGTTACAGTTGCAGCTAGCTACCAAGGATTGCTGAGTTTTCTGATACTTTGAGTCTTATCTGATTTTAACAGATTTTATAGATCTGTCTGGAAGTGTACGTAATTTTGTAATGAGTAAACTTCTATATTCATTGTTTTCAGTACTATGTGTATTGCGCAGGTCAAAAGTATGTTGACCTTGGACTTGGTAGTCATCGTGTGAAATGTCGAGTTGATGAAACTTTTAGGTAAGTGAGTTGGAGCAGTTTTTTTTAGTTTACAGCCTGATCACATGAAGCAGGCTGGCCTGGTTGACCGGGCTAATTTCTTTTGTTTTGTGGCGAAAAAAAAGAGAACATGCTTGAAATAATCAATACCTTATAGTTCTTTTGGTTCTTTTCGTGA